GGGGTCCATTCTAGTCGACAGTGAGCATGGATTTCAACTCAGTAACATCGGTTCGTGGTCTCGCTAAAATCAAGAATCGCTAAAAGTTTGAATTCACAGATCGGCGAAATTATTAAGTGTTAAAACGATTAACAATTTAGAGTACAACTAGGCGAATATTCTTAAAATAAACGGATCGGGTTCAAACATTTTTTTGCCGTAGAAACAAAGGTCAGCTATAAATAAATAGCATATCAGCATAATAGGTTACGAATAGGAGTATAAATTGAGTAACGCCCAAATGGAAAACTAAATTTTTTTTTAAGCAGAATATGAAATGCAAGAGAGCACATGACGTAATCGAATGTGTAGTCTGCCCATCAGACGTCTGTTTCGTTCGTTTGAGGCCGGATTGACCCAGTTCACAAAGTCATTGCAATTCAAACTGATGAACATCAAAAGCTCTCCAAATAAAAACTTCAAGCTCTGAGACCACTAGTATTATCGGAACAAATCATTTGGTAAAAGTGTGATCGTTAAAGATAAATGAAGATAACGGAAAAACTCGATCGTGGGTCATTTGAACCACAAGTCTCATTGTGCTAAATTGTTTTAAATAAATATTGATTTTCAAGTGTTGGTTTGTAGGGATTTGATTGGTTTCAGGATTTCATCATGAGCTGACATTAGTTAGAGAACCATTGGAAAACCTGGGAGTACTGGACAGCTGTTTCGTCCTAGTTTGGGACTCTTCAGCAGCACGCACCCACCGAGATTCGAACCCAGGACCTTCCGGTTACAAGGCGAGCTAGCTCGTATACCATTAAGCCACTGGGACCCGATCCAATGGTCCTTGAATACCAATGAGATGCTCACTGGCGACTGGCCCTATTCAGGTAGGTAGTTACCTGGGTTCCAGTGGGAAGTCGTGACCAGTAGGGTGCAGCTGGTCGGGTGTGAGGACAAATACTCGCCGAAGACATTGGCTAGCGGTCGCGCTATGTCGTGAATTGGCAGAATTTAGAATTCAAGGACCATTGGATTGGGTCCCAGTGGCTTAATGGTATACGAGCTAGCTCGCCTTGTAACCGGAAGGTCCTGGGTTCGAATCCCGGTGGGCGCGTACTGCTGAAGAGTCCCAAACTAGGACGAAACAGCTGTCCAGTACTCCCAGGTTTTCCAATGGTTCTCTAACTAATGTCAGCTCATGATGAAATCCTGAAAATATTGATTTTGTTTGTTTGTTTTTTGACGCTTTATAATTTTTCCATTTTTATCGATGTCTTACGTAACATCAGATTTACCCTCGTTTCTATGCACCTCCTGAATGTAACTCATCCATTGAATTATTTGTCTTATTACGTAAATATAACTGCCTTATTTATCTACTCTGATTTATTGATTATTAAATAACACATATGACTATGATGACTCATCATGTTGTTACTAGCCTCTTTTGTGAAAAATAATTATATATAGATATTATTATACACCTAAAGAAAATGATTTCGTTCTCTTCACTTATGTAATTTGATTTTCCACTAACACTTGGATGGAGGGTTTGATCTCGGGTATTACTGAATTCTGGCCAAAGAGGGTGAATTGCCAACAACGTTAGTTTTGTTAACTGAGGGGCACTGGCTTTATCCTTGGTGAGCTTGTGGCTTCACACTGCTCCCTACAGCTCCTCGGTTTTCAGTGATCTTTCTAACTGATATCATTCTGCAGATCACAGGATTTCATCATGAACTGACATCGGTTACAGAACCAGTGGAAAACTTGAGAGTAGTGGGCAGCTTTTTCGTCCTAGTTTGGGAATCTACAGCAGTATACTGTCAACAGGGATTGAACACAGGAGCAGGTCGGTAGTGAGGATAAATACACACTGGAGAGAATGGCTAGTGGTTGTGCAATATCTTGAATTGGTAGAAGTTGGAATTCATGAACCTTCGGATAGCATGTGATTGGCTTAATTTTCAGTGAGTTCGTCTTGTAACCTTGGTTCAAACCTTGGAGATGGGTGCACGCTGATGAAGAATCATAATCTAGGATGAAACAGCTTTCCAGTACTTCCAGATTTTCCATGACAGTTCATAAAGAAGTCCTGTAACCAATTATTCAAATCCCTATAAACCAGTACTTGAAGTTGACTGAACGTCTAGTGAGAGGTCATAACCAGTAGGGATTATTCGATCAGAAACAAGGATAAATATTCACCACGGATGACACTGGTTAGTGACAGTGCTGCTAAACTGGCGAATTTATTTTGCTTCTAATGACTGAGTGGTCTATAAGCTAGCTTGACTTGTAATCGAAAGGCTGTGTTTTCAAAACTTTGTGGTGGGTGGCTGCCTTCAATGAGTTTCAAACTCGAAAGATGAAACAGTTGTCTAGCAGTATTTCAGTGTTGGTTTTCAATGATTCCCTAACTGATATCAATCTGTGATCAGAGACTCGAATCATATAAATATGTCAATTAGTGTTAGTATCAGGTGGTTGGAGGCAATCAGTCACAGGAAGCCTTCGACCTAGACTTCGTCCTAGTTGGTACTCATCAGTCAGGAAGATGTATCTGTAACCATCTTGAAGGAACTCATGTCCCTTCTGAGACCTGGACCCGCGTCACTCAGTGTGTGTGATGCATTCAGAGACGTTACCATTGAGCCATCTATTCAGGCTTGCGACTGACCTTCTGCATGACTGTATTGGATACGTTTGATTGGATAATAGTTACAGACTTGTGTCTATCAAAATACATCAATAATGTATGAAAAAAAAATGAGATTATCAGATGTTCAGTAACAAATTAACCTCTACTCGGGATTAGTAAGCAAGTATAAATAAACTCTGTGTGCACTGGTATTTTATTATCCCCGCCTAATATGTTATAAACTTTTTTTTTACTCAAACTGTATACGGAATGAATCAGCTTGTTCAAAGGTGTATCGATTGAATATTAAACTTTTATAAACAAGAAACCCTCGCAACCACTTACATTTACACAGTAAAAAGTTAGATTGAACAAAAAATTCATTTAAACAATTCTAATTTTGAGTTTCTTAGAGTTTTTGTTTACTTTTAATGTAAACTCTGTAATGAATTGATTTCAGCTAGAGAGTGATTGTTAATCCTGCCCCACTGAACATCTGTTTCGTCTTACCTTATGAGTTTTGGTAACATATACTTATGAACCCAAAATCTGTCAGGTTCCGAGGTGAGTTTGTTCACCTTTCATCTAGTGAGTTTGAATTTAGTAACCCATGAATTTATGCGTTGAAGTTTCTGTAGCGATTTGGTTACGTTTAGGGGGTGAAGTTGCTAGCACCACGCCCCAACCCTCACTCTTTAGGCGGCTTGGGACGGGCTAGAAAACTAGCGAGCTAGTAATCTAGGCGAGGTTAAGAAAATAATCAACCACCACCAACAACAACAGCGGCATCCAGCGCCAATCACCGTCAACGGGAGGGATTTGGAAGAGGTTACTTCATTCACTCACTTATCTAGGGACCATTGTCTCAACTACAGCCATTCGGAACGGACGAGGATGTCAAATCGAGCCAGAATCAGGAAAGCGAGAAACACATTCATCAACCTGAAACAAATCCGGAAATCTTCGTCACTCAAAATCAATAACAAAATTCGGTCGGATTTTCAATACAAACGTCAAGTTAGTTCTTCTATATGGATCAGAAACTTGGCGGGCGGGTCACAAAGAATATTTCCATCAGCCGGTTGCAGACCGTTATCAACAACTCTCTTCGCTGGCTCTATACTGAAGATCAGATGCCCGGGCCGGAAAGAATCACCAACAAGAAAATATGGGAACAAACAAAGGAAGAACCAATCACCCAACAAATATGCAGGAGAAAGCGGACACTCGCTGAGGGGACCGCTGGGTGACATCGCGCGCGCGTCAGGCCATTGCTCGAGTGGAACCCGAAAGGGAAGCAGCGATTGGGACGTCAGTGCAAGGGTGACATGGAGGAGATCGTGTGTAAAGGAGTTGAAACAGTATGGACTAACATGGATGCAGGTGAAAAGTACAGCAGAAGGAAGACAGAAGCAAGTGGAGACGTGCAGTTGAAGCCCTACGTTCCACTAGAAACACAAGGGAGCAATAATAATAACCCATGAATTATGTTTAATTGGTGTCTTTGAAATACTTGCGAAGATTCGCAGCTCACATGGATGATTTTGATAGCGGTTTAATCGCAAAGCTTACGTTGTCCCTCGAGACAACATCTTCAGGGCAAGTTTCAGTATGAAAATGTTGTCCTGAAGCACAAAGAAAGCTTCGCGTCTAAATCAATCAGATCAGAGATCTAATCAGCGTCTGCTAATCCCATTCATTCCAGTGGTGATATTTGCTCAATAGTTATGATATTTATGATACCAGATCTCATCCATTCAAACTCTTTTATTCTACTGATTTTATTTCCGTTTTTCACTTTCATAATTACCATTTTTTAATAAATAACACACAAACAAAAGCTGAATTGTCTCTACCCGTCAATTTACTGTCTCCGTCGTTTTAAAATTATAATTTCTGTTGTGTAATTAACAACTGATGTACATTATATGCCGCCATAACAACAGTGTCTATAAACAGCAACAGGAACAGAAACATATCACAGTAGAATTCTCCTTCATTCAACCACATATTACTAAAATACACACAGTAATAATAATAAATGCTGAATTTTCTATGCCTTTTTCAGACATCTATTCATCACTTCACTAATATTATTTATGATATAATGTTTATTATGTTTTCAATTCTTTTTTCTTTATTTTTTTTGTCACTACCCTATAATTACTGTCTCTTGAATTCAGTACAAAATACAAGCATAAGTGTGTTGACAGCATTTTGCCAAGAGAAAAAATATATATGTGGCGCCAACCAACTGACTCGCCTGTTATTGGTTACAACTGCTTTCTGCTTTCTGATTGGTTGGTGGATTGACGAATCAGCAAATCCCATCCAGAATGCAAATATAAGTATATACTAAATATATAGGCATATAAATGTTAGTGGAATGATGCTTTTATTGAGTAGATTGATGATTGCATATGTATTTGTATTAAATGACATGTAAACTCTCGGACTCTGTGGAACTGTAATATACCAAGGATTTAAAATTTATGCTATAATTCACTTATTACATAACTAGCGAAGGATTTATTTAACAAAAACTGGAATATATACATAAATATATATCATTTATTAGACTGAAAAAATCAATCTTACACTTTGAATGAACCCTACTCTGGAATATCAAAATATTAGATCACAAACAATGGAAATTATTATGCAATATTTTGGTAAGTTTACCGAATTATCCTTCTCTAACTTTTATTTTTATTTTACTTCTTTTGATTACTGAGTGATTGTGGGCCCCAAGCTAAACCTTCTCTCTTAGCCTGGATTATTACCAGTCAAGCCAGGTTCAGGAATGAGTAAGCTAGGGATAGAACACCGAAGATAGGCTGATCTATTCCTCGGTGGTAAGGATATCCTGTATTCAACCAAGAGTCTACCTATCTTATAAAATTAGTTTTTACGCCAATATGACGAAAAACAATCTAAACCCAACAACCTCGTAGATCACTTATCATACTGTAGCAACACTATCTTGACATCACTTGGCAAATAGGGGAATAAATCCTTAAAAATGCCGAGTATCCTGTTGTCTCCATGATCATTATCTTCAAGATTGCTTCACTCGTCTTTTCAGTGAAACTCCTTTCTTCTGACACTGGCCATGTGGCAGTTACTATCACCACTGTCCGACTCAACATGCCTCTCTGCTGTCTTTACATTGACTGTTGCATGACCACTAAAATTTCCATTATCACCATGGCATTCGACAGTAGACTCATTAATTATGTCTCAAATAAAATACAACTCATTTGTATAGGCCTCTTTCTTCACACAAACCTACCAAGTCCAATTCCTCTCAAAATTCTTTCCCTTACCTATTTAGCTCTTCGGTACAAGGTAGAGAGATGACACTCTGGAAAACTAAAAATATTTTCCCCAGACTCTTCGTTCAAACAGCTTTTAGTATCAAGAATTCACTATTCTAACACACTAATCAATGAGTTATGGAACCAAGGAACTCAATTGCATGGTGAACCATTGAATCCAATGTGCTAGAGAAGCAAACTTCATTAGACGTATTTTAAACAACATGATTTCACCAGAAATTTGAATAAATAGTTTTTTGAAATTCACCACTTGAAAAACCCTTAGAATTAAACACGAATAATTCGGTTATCAGTCATCTAAAACACGTGGTGTAACTGTGTGTCACTTCATTAGGACCATTGAACTGTGTCACTTGGCATAGCCTGGGAGTAGTTGGTCTGTAAAAGTTCGGAACTTAGGGCTCAATTTAGTTTGTAGGAAACAATTTGCTTGATTTGTGTGTATCTGGCTACCGATGAAAGTTGAAACGTAAAATAAATAAAGTTCTTTGTGTTTTCCATCAGTCCAATTCAATACATGTGCTATCTGACTAACTTTCATCATTATTACTTGACACCGTAGCTTGATGTTGAATTTCACTCAGTAATCAGCTGGTTTTTATTCTGTTCCTAAATGCGTTTCTCAAAGCGTTAAAAACTATGATAGAAAACTCCTTTCAGTAGATGATGCTTTGTCCCTGAGAGTTATATGAAATCAATAAACCTCTGTAGGATTATACTCTGTCACAAGGTCCCAGATGATCCCATATTCAATCTTACCACTTTTCAAAAACTTCTATTTGTTGTTTTTTTATTAGTTTATTTTTTGCCTTTGTTTTCCCATTGGGACATAAGGCTTCAAGCTACAAGCTTTAGAGTTTCAGTAGCACTTGTGTTTATTTATTGAGGAGGCGCAGGGTGCGGGTGTCGGTGCTGCTAGCCTCATTTTCTCAACCTTCCATCTTTATCTGGGTTACTATTGGCTAAGACGGGATCGACTGCCGACCAGGCAAGTGACTGGCGAGCATTTTACCGTTGAACCACCAGTGGGCATTATATAATCATTTTAGACTTTAATCAACTCCAGATTACACAGAATTTCTGAAGGTTATTCGAAATAATAGATATTGTTTTTGGTAATCGAAAAGATTGTTATGAGCTCTTACTGAAGTAGTCAGCATTTCATTCTCTTGGTCATTGTGTGGTACGGTTAACGAGTATCACTTCTACACGAAAATAAAAATGACAATATTCTATCAGAAATACTACATGACTAGGCTGAAGTTTGTGGGTTAGTACATTTTAAAAAGCATTGAATTTTGAATAGGCGATGCCAAAGAACATTTTAATTCTTACCTGTTTGATTTTAGCTGCCACTGGAATCTTTGATAAACGTCTCATCTTATTTTGGACTCGTCAACTGTATGCACTTGCATCCCTTAGAGAGTGAATGTTTTTCCACAGAAACTTGAACTCAGATCCTGGTGCTTTAGACTGCACTAATTATTATTAAAACACCAAATCAGTGAATTATGGACGCCGAGAGGTGCGCCAGATAAAATCGCATAGTTTGTTCAAGGCCTGGGGCTGATCGGACACCCAGACCAAAGTAGATGGTAGTCTTAAAGGGCTATCCCAACAGCCTTTTACATTAAGACTAATTCACAACGTAGTCGAGCGACGTCGGGAACTGCATTCTCATAGTTTCTGGCAGCTAAAATACGTCTATACACCATTCCATCCTTTTAGATTCTCGAGCCCATATACATCATAGTTTCAGGAATAGGGTTGTCCACCTCCACTAGGTGTATCTGTATGCCCACAACTTTGGTTGTAGGCTCAAATTGTTCACATTCACGGATCATATCGCAAACCATTTGCTTGGCTAGTCACTTTCCTACGATTGAACTAGTGACTCACAATGTGCTTCATAATATTGCCATAAAAGTCTACAAACGATGGGTATTTCACCAGTTGGGATGATGTTACTCTGTGTCAATCTCACATTGATGACTTGTGAAAGAATTCAGAAATAGCCAACTCCCAGAAAATACCCAACTGACATGTCCTGATTGGGACGAAACACATCTACTGGACTCCACTACTAGCCACCACCAACCAACAGATAACTTAATAAGAAACCTGGAAAAAAAGTAATGTCCCACTGAATTCTTTCCCACCTACACAGATGACCTATATCAACGACTGATAACGGCTTAACCAGTCATATATTTATATCATATTACCGGGGACAGAAAAGATTAGCCTGATGCAAGCGAATAGATAAGTACCACCAACTGAAGAATTCGTCTAACTCTAAAATTTGTCTCTTGAGACTTTAATATATATATATATATAATTAAAATATTCCAATGGGGGTTTTCTACCAATGTTTGTGAACACAATCATAAGGTCATTTATAATTATTTTGTGAAAATGTCACGCTGTCCCGCTATTTTATTCTATTCGTCAATTGTTTTAATTCAGCTGACCAGTGAACATCTGGTTTTATTTTTACTACAAGCTAATCAGTAATGATAAGCTTTGAAAAAGAAAACCCGGAAAAGTTTCAAAGTTGGCCATGTTGTTGTTGTTGAATAAAGACAAAGGTGTCAACAGTGTCTTTGCGTGTGCATTGCTTGACAATATGTTGATTTCTCAATTGGAGTCAATATTAAATTTTTGTGTAAGATCAAGCTTGTGTGTGCAAACCCACCTTTATATCATTCTCGGGTCATTATATTGCATTTGAAGAGTAGAATACTATACGAAGGTGTAATTAATAGTTAAGAAAACCAATAAAGAATTCTGCTGATAATATCAACTACACAAATTGTTGCATAGATTTGAATGGAGTTATATCGGGTGTCATCATTGCCAGGAAGGTTAAACTACAACGATCCATGGATTGTGAATAAATGATACGACTTGCTTTCAGCTAGCCAATCACAAAAACCAGTGGTTTTTAATTATTTACAAGACAGAATAATGATAAGGCACATTAAACAGGCCATTTTTTTCCCTGATGTTACTTAATAATACCTGCCAGTTATAATATGAAATATCAGTTTTTAAGTTAGACCAGCTTTCATGCATTTACTCACCAAAGTGACTGAAGATGACCCATTTTTCAGTCTTCCTAAGAATCCCCTGATTGAGTAAGTAGGGGTTCCAGTAAGGGGATGGACAACCGTTTTCACTAGCAAAATGCGGATAATAAAAATAGAACACCTTAACCCTAATCCTAACCTTAATCCCAACATCAACCCTAATTGAATTGTCCTTATAGTACTTAAACACGAAATCAGTATGAAGTCTGCACCTAACTTCAAGAACACAGTTCATAGTGGCGTTATAATAATGATAGGCTTTGTTATTCAATTAATAGCGTACGTTCAAGGTTATCGGTTTGTTCCTACTCCTGGATCCCTATACTATTACTTGGTCACATTTCCTACAGGAATGTAAGTACGGAACTAGAGACAGACACACATTATTATGAAGGGAATAGGAAGCGTAACTAAGCATGGATTCGTTAACAAACAGTTTGTTTTTTTGCAAGCAGATAGCTGCTACACTTTTTCTAGTTTAGCAATGAGTTCTTATCCATATTTGGAGAGAGCGGTTAGACACTGTTGACCTTGACAACTTAAATGTAGAGTCACTGAGGAACGCAATGACACTTTGTTTTTCGGGTTATTTTTCTGTGTTCCCCACTGATTCATTAAGATATTGAACTGAAATGCATGGTATCTCTTGACATAAATTATCGTCCTAGACGAAACACGCATCGTGAGGGTCCACTGCTAGCCGCAGTCAACAAATCCTTAAACTTCGTCAAGGTGTTTCCTCTAGGTATAGCAACAAAAACTGACTAGCTGTGGTCTAAACGCAGAGAACCTTTGCTTTCTTCTTTCCTATTTTATAGCTGTCCAAAACATCCTTGAGAAACACACAGACACAAAATGCTCCAATGACATCAAAAAGACGATTGTTTGTCGTTGGAATATATTCAATAATAATAATAATAATAATAATAATATCGAAAATTCAAATTACCTCGACTGTTTCGTTAGGCAGTCATTTTCTTTTCATTCCTTTACGTTCCCAGTGGAACAGAGGACATCAAGTTGGAGGCTTTAGCATTCAAAACTATGCGTCCACGATTTAAATCTAACTGGAAACTCCATTCAGCAATTACTCACTCACTCACGCGGAATGCAGGTACATTCAGCTGGTTGATGAGTCTCAAACAAGTCGAAATCCACCTCCTTGATTTCCATTTTTGTGGTCACTCACTACCAAGCAGTTACACTTTGTGGAACAATAGTAACAGCGATGAAGGCCATGCCTTC